TTAAAACACCCACAAAGTGTGAGTGCTGGCCGGGTAAGTAGTAAGGACCAGGACGTTCCCTCAAGAACACAATAGTGCCCTTCTACACATCTCACTGCTCACTGTTCATGGGCTTTTAATTTTGCTACAATTTGAAAGGAGAAAAGCAGCTTGAATCTCAGCACCCCATTAGAGGAAGATCCTACAGCTTCTACTAAGCCAGCATCTGGGCTTTAGCTCATCTCGACGAGCGTTCTCAGTGCCTCTGTCCTGGGCAGGTGACAAGGGCCTCCCAGCTCAATAAGTTTGCTCACAACAGAGTTGTTCTCAAACTATGAAGTATGGTTAGAAAATACAGAGAATTTAAAAATTTGAAATACAATTCATTACAATAAGAGACCCACTGCCACTGATCCCCTCAAAATCCTCCCCCTGGGTTTGAACACACTCATCCCATGGTTCTTGCCACTTTCTGAAGCACTTCTGAAAGTCCTCATTCGAGGGTCTTTAATTGCACTGTCCTGGCTGCCTTCAGCCTTCTGAGGCCATCCAAAACATTGACCTTCTGTGGTCAGTGTGACTCTGGGCAAGAGCCAGAGGTGGCATGGGGCCAGATCCCGTGAACAAGGCGGAGGAGGACACACAGTGATGTTCTTATGAGGCTGCTTTCCTGTTGGATGGCGCTGGGCAGGCAGCAGCATTCACGATATTTGATCTCACATCAGAAAGACTCTCAGGAAATGGGTGCCAGAACTGCTTCGGGAAGTGGCAGGAAGGACAGGATGTGTGCTTCAAAGTGAGTACTGTGCGGGACTAGCGGCAGTGTGTCTTCTTCTGCAACGATGAGTTTTGATCACAGCACATGCCTGTGTAAGTGGTCAGCTGTGAACACACGTGGTCACTCCCTGCCCGTGCCCCGAAGGCTCTGGGGAGGAGACAGTGGGGGACAGGGCCGGGCACGCTGTCCCTGCACTGCCCACACAGCCGCCCCACCTGGCAGCCCCAAGTCTCCTATTCTCTCCTATGAAATAGTTCCGCCCGGTTCAGTAACTGCTCTCTGCCTGTGAGCAACAAATGATTCTTTTAGATTAACATGCATCTATTAAATTATCTCTCCACAAAGTAAGTTAGAGACATGGCATGGAGGCACGGAGTCACCTCCGCTGTTCATGGGGGTGGAGAACGCAGAAGTGGCCCATAGGGTGCCTCCCGGGAGAGGCGCGTCCAGGCCTGAAGACTGGGAAGACATCAACTTAACCCTTCGGGGAAGGCTGCTTCCACGTGCTGACCTCCACTTCCTTGTGTTTCACCCACGATTAAGTGGTGATTAAGCTTTAATGAGAAGTGTTCACGGATTACAGCTGACATAATTGCAGCTGTCAGCTGATGTCCCGCAAGGTGTGCTGGGCAGAGCCAGTGGACTGTGACTCTGAGAGTCTGAGTGTCCGTGGGGCACGCACAGCCCTCCCCAGCGGAGAGAAGCCATCTTCAGTGACGCTAAGGCGGATGTGCCCAGGGGGACCAGGCGAGGCCTGTGTCCACCACTCTTGGTGGTGAGTCAGGGGCACAGCTCTCAGGCTGCCAGCAGCCATTCGTTCCTCTCCCAGAGAGGCCCCTCCCGGCAGGGTGTATGGCAGGGAGAAAAGGACCATTCTGATAAGATCAGCACATCTGTCAGATGACAGGTTCAGCTGTGCTCACTCAGGAAATGGGGATTATTCTTTGTGCTGTGAAAAGACCCCACCTGGTTTCCAACTGGTGTCAGAACATGGGCTGCTCAGGAGGAAAACCAAGGCACAAAGACCCATATCTGGTTCTTCCCACCTGTGCCCCACCTGGGCATGGACCCAGGAGCCGCGGTGAGGGCCTTGCAGTCTGCCCCACGCTGGGCAGGCCTCTCACTGCGCTCCCGCCTGAGCCTGAGGGTGCTCTTCTCCCCAGGGCCACAGGAAGGAGGCGACATCCTCTCCAAACCTGCCCCACCATTTCTACGCGCCCCCATCCGCCCCCAGCACCCCTGGCCTCCGCAGGGCATCTCATGCTTGTGATCCGCCTTTGTGTTACACACTGGCATGTCTCTCTTCCCTGTGTTGAGCAAGCTTTCCCCAGATAGGATTCCTGGCAGAGCCCTCCCGCTCCACGAGGCCCTGGCTCGCCGGGCCACAGGGCCCTGGGCAGGTCCATGCCCTGGCCTGAGCATGAGGACCTCCCCCGGCCCCAGGCCTCCAGACCAATGCAGACAGCACAAGGCCAGGCCCCCTCACAGGGGACCTGGGAGAACCTCAACTGCCTAAGTCGCTGTCCAGCTCTGATTTTATACCGTCCAAATTTCAGTGTCTTGTTTCCCGCATCGGGTTTACAAATAATCTCCCAGAAACTCTTTCGCTAAAAAGCCTTCCAATCAACACAAAATGCTCACCCCTAAAATGCTATTTCCCACGTGGAGGCCAGGGGTGGGAGCCTGGGAAGGAGAAATATGGGGGGCAGGGTCACATGCAGAGGACTCGTCAGCCTGGGGAGGCGCCAGCCGGCCACCACCCTCACCCACATGGCGAGCACTCTGTGCGCTTCAGCCTGGCACACACAGGAAACCGAGTCACAGCAAAGCGTGCAGGTCTCATTCCTGCAGACTCTTGTGGGGGTGTTCCTGTTACCACCTCCTAAACCTCAATCTTAATCAGCTGAGCATAAACAGAGAAGAGAGGATCTGTGGCCTTCAGATAACAATACCAAAGGGCTCTGCTTTTTAAAAACCAAATGAGGAAGAAGACCTCTGACAGAGAGAACCCTGAAGGAATATAGAAAACTGACTGGCTTGGGAGTGCCCGTAGTATTTTTAGAAGGAAAGATAAACCAAGACAAGGAGCCAACCTAAGCATGGTCTTACTTTCCCCAACTGAAATGAGAGCCCAGGTCCGCAGGAAAAGCTACACAGAGAAGCTGACAGCAGCTGCCTTCGGGATTGCCAGTCCTGGGGACATCCAGCTGCCCTGGGAGCGGGACAATGCACTGGGGACCGTCCAGCAATGGGGCGTCCGCCAGAACTGAGAAGATAAGGGCTTCCAAGCTGTGAGAAGGCGTGGAGGAAGCCTGGTGAACGCTGTGAGTGGAAGAAGCCATCGGAGGCTTCTGCTCCTGTGGTGTGACACTCTGGAGGGGCTCCCGGGGCTGGGGGAGCACAGAGGGCTCTGAGGAAGCCAGGGACTGCCTCCCGCTGCACTGGGACAGCGGACACGGGCCCTACACACTTGTCTAGACCCCCGGGGTGGGACGGGCACACAGGACGCGCCCCAAGTGAGCTGGGGCTCCGGGTGACCGAGCCTTGTCAGCGTGGACTCCGGGATTACAACCACACCCTGCTCAGGGGTGGGAGTCGGGAGGCTGTGCATGTAAGGAGCAGGAGGGCTACGAGAGCTCTCTATGACTTCCCTCCAGTTTTGCAGTCAACCTAAAACCACTGTACAAGAATTAAAGTGTAGCAGAGGGTGATGGCTGATGCCGGTAAGCCCGGCTAACAGGACGCCGAGGCAGGAGGACTGCAAGTCCAAGCAGAGTCCAGGCAACTTCTCACAGAGTTAAACTACAAAAGGACTTGGGCTGTAGCTCAGGGAAGGCCACTTGCCTGGCATACACAGGGCTCCGAATGCAGTCCTTATGCCACCATGGACAGGTGATAGATAAATGGACAAAATATATCTAAATTTCACGCAGCCAGTAATGCATAGCAAGGAAAAGGAGGAAAGTGACCACTATTAACTCACTGGCTTAACAGTGGTTTCATTTGCCAAGTGAGGCCCGTGAGTCAGTAAGCTATGTACTCTCTCAGTTTCAGATGATAAAGGGTGATTTACATCACAGGACAGAGCAGAGGGAGGTAACCTAGAAGTGCAGGCCTTGCCCCAGGCAGGGAGCTGGGCCCAGCTTCCTGGCATAGTTTTGCCACTGACCCACGAAAAGGTTTGCACACACAGGTGTACGATTCCACAAGCACGTGTTAGAAAATCACTGCCTCCAGCCACAGTGGAACCAGAGGTGAGGAGCCATGTGGACAGTGAGCTCAGTTTTATTAGCCATCTTTTAAAGCATTAAATTGAGCTGAGTCAATTTCCTTATGTAAACCCTAAAGGTGGCTCACTAGCGGCTGGCGAAAGACGAACTGAGCCTGAGTGTGTTTATGCGAAATTCCAGGTGTGTTATGCAGGTGGCCGGCCTGGTGGGCCACAGACTACATGGGTCCTCTTGCTGGTGCTCCTTGAAGGCCACTAACAGGTTCAGCTGCCACAAAAGAGCTGCACCCTGACCTTTCAGGAAATCATTCATTAGAATGGGCTGGGCACCAAAGATGGGATGGCTTTAAGGAGACAACAGTTCATGTGCTAATGTGGTTTCCACTAACAACTCCCCAGAGGTTATGACCTTATCTCAGCTTCCTCCAACCTTAGCTCTGGGAGGAAAAACACAGGCCACTGCAAACCTGGAGGCCAAGAGTGGAGAATCAAAGGGCTGGATCAGCATCGCACAGGCTCCAGCCCGGGGAGGTCGGGGGCCACCTGTGCGGGGAATGGAGCCTCACTGCTCCTCCTGCCCCACGGCCAGGCCAGGCCACCCACTGAGGAACTTTGACCTTCCCCGAGGCAGGTCACAGACCCTCTCTCTAGAGAGCCCCACGCCCGGAGGAAAGGGCCTGGGGACACAGGAGTCTGCACATGCCCAGCAGGCTAGACCACAGTTACTCCCTTGGACACCCGCTTCCCCTCCAGCCTGTTCCGTGTGAGCACCCCTGAGAGGCGCTTTCTCTTTCCTGTGCCCTTATCTGTGGGGGCCCCGTCGCCATGCAAAGTTTACACTAAATGAGTTCGCCTATGCTTTCCTCTCCAGAATGTGCCTTTTGTCATCCACACTTCAGCCAACAGCCCAGCGACAGGCTAGCAAAGAAGGCTCTTCTTTGCTACAAGACACACTCTCCAAAACGCAAACCTCGCGGGCAGAGGCCCGGGGCTGCAGGGCTGGACAGCACCTACTTGAGAACTGGATGGAGAAGCCGGACTTGCTGATGAAGAAGTCGCTGTCGAACTGCAGCGTGAGCGAGTTGAAGGTGCTGTGGATGTCCTCCGGCAGCGCCGAGCCACTCCACTCCTTCAGGAGGATGGCGCTGTCCGCCGGGCCGTCCCACACTTTGAGGATGTCATGCGCCAGCTCCGTGTCGAAAACAATGAAGTGCAGGCTGCGGAGAGAGAGCACAGCTCGTGTTGGCCCACACTGGCCCTGAGCCGTGATGCTCGAGCGCCCTTCACTGTCGCAGGGCCCCCGAAAAGCAGACAGACAGACAGATAAGTAAAGCACGTCCTGTGTCACTGGGGAAGGAGCGAACCCAGGCAGACACCAAAGCCCGTGCAATTACACCAGAACCCGGCAGGGGGCGGCAGCTGCGGCAGTGCAGACGCTCTGGGATGTGGGGTGGAGCCCTCCCGCCTGGCAGCGGCTCCCTGACACCCTGTGTCTCCTCCTGCTCAACACCTGGAGCTGAGTCCAGCCTCCCTGCTGCTCCTCAGAGGCCCGTGAGGGGGCAGCAGGCCGGAAAGAGAGCGATGTTCCCCGAGAAGGTGTGCTGGCCTAGCCGCGTTCCTGCCCCGGCCCAGGGCTGGCTCTGGCCTTGGATTTGCTTCCATGCCTTTTAGCTGCAGAAAACCCGTGCTGTTGGGAATTCCAACACAGAGGCATGGAGGCCAGGTACCAATTCCCTTCCTTGTGACTTTCTGCCCCTCTTCAGGGAGATGTTTTGCAGAGCACCTCCACAGCTCTCCCCCAGGAGCCTTGAAGGGCCGAGCAGCAGGCCCGACCTAGGGCACCGGGCGGCAGGGTGACGTTCAGGCCAGCAGGAGCCCCAGTGTCCTATACCCCGCGTTTACAGCTTTGCCTGCTCGCTGCATGTGGATCGCACGGAAAATAAAATAAGCACACGACATTCAGACCGCTGTCCACAAACCTCTATTACTTCACACACTACATATAGCACATACAGTTGTTGTCCAGTTGCTCTGTGTACAGTGTAAAACACGGGTGTTTCTTAAACACCAATATGAAATACTGTCCAAATACAGACAGAAGTGCAGAAATAGTAGACACTTATTTTCCATCAGCACCAAAGTCAGCACTTAACCCTATTGGCTTTAAATAGTTTAGGTAAAATCTTACAGACATACCTGTCCTGTCCCTTGAGCCACAATCATTCATGCTTCCTCACTTCTCACATCCTGCGATGTGCAATTCCCACTGAAATGGAAATTTTCCTATGTGTAAGGGTGCGCAGGTACCACACACAACGCACGTGTCACTGAGTGTACAGAGGCCACGGCACAGGGTCCGTGTGCGCTTGCATCCAGCACTGGGAGTGCTCCGGGCTGAGCAACGCAGTGCTAATTCACACTGGCAGCATGAGCTGTGTCGTCTCCTGGAGGACAGCTCACGTCTTCTCACCAAGACCCATGGGCTGCTGTGGGCACCGGGGCCTCTCTAGGTCTGGCGTCTAGGAGCAGCTCAGGCTGCTTCTCCCCTGCAACTGCTTGTAGCTTCACAACCATTCACAAATGCTCACATTTTGTGACATCTGCTTCTACACCTGCTAGTATGAGAGTAACAGGTGTGCAAGTAGAAATTCTGCTGGCTGTGGGACAGCCCTGGGTTGGAACATGGCCCTCGGCCCTTCCTGGGGCTGCCCATCATTTTACACCTGCAGGGCTCCCTGCCCCCTGAAGTGCAGTTCAGAACTGTAGTGAAGCCCCAGGTCTAGGACCGAGGACGCAGCCCTGTGCTGAAGGGCACAGACAGAGAACTCTGCCTCCCTCTCAGGAGTGCAAGTTACAATGAGAGGAGGGAGAGAAGGAAGAGCAACCAAAGCAAATGCACAGAGAACACTGCATGTCAACAGGCGGTAAATAAACTGACAGGAAAGAAACACAGAGAGGACAGGGCATTGGGACGTCAAGGATGGGAGTCAGGGAGACAGAGGTGTCCCGGGGCTGAAAAGCAGGTCTGGGCAGAGCTTGGAGAAGGTGAGGGGCCTATTAGTCCCCATGAGGGACCAGGGCAGCTGAGAAGAACCCTATGGAGGGTCTTCAGCCTTTGGGGACATCTGGGAACCTAGGGCAGCCAGAAGCAGGGCGTGTGGCTGAGACCCGAGGAGCAGGAGGCACTCGGGTGCAGAGAGAGGGGAGAAGCAGAGCTGCACAGGGCCTGTCAGTCCCATGTTTTACGCTGAGGGGTAGACAGCCTGTCGCTCTGCAGTGAAGCAGCTACCCCACCAACAGCACCCTAGGAACCACTCTCCTGCCCTGCGGACAGCAGCCGGGAAGGGCGTGTGCTCTCCTTGAGGCCCTGGATGAGCCCAGGAAGCGGGCGAGAGAGGACACAAGGCCACCGCGGGCCAGGCGGGTGCTGAAGAACCGGAAAGGTGGGGCAGGGGAAGGGGCAGTGGGACTTGCAGGGCAGCTGGGGGAGAGGTCACGCGGCCCGGAGTCGCCAGGGCGTCTGGACGGCGCCCGTGGGTAGCAGGGCAGTGTTCCGGATCCGCGGGCCCTGGGAAGTGGACAGGCCCAGAGAGGAGAGCCAGCCGGCCAGGGAGCAGAGCCCAAGGCAGCTCTCCTGCCCTCCTCCACTGAGCCACTACACGCTCAGGCTCAGCATGTTTTCCACCCTGGGTAAGCAGTTTTCTTACTGGGGAAGTACTCTGCTACCTACTACGTTAGGAATGTTTTGTTTTGTATTCTCTTACGTTTTTTCATCATCATAAGTTATCAAATTCCATTAAATTACTATTCTACACTAGTGAAGATGCCCATAGAGTTTTTATTCTCAAAATATAAACTGGAGGAACTGTAAATATCAGTTCTTACTCTTTTGGTCCTGTGCTATATTTGCCCTTTGATAACAAGTTTATTTCACTAAAAGAACTGCACATTTCTTTCTTCTCTCTGGAATATTTTTCCAGTATACTAGTAAAAGATATCTATTATTTTTAAATTTCCTAAAAGTGATTTGTATCAGTATATCTCTATTTCCATTCCAATAAGGAATCATTTGGGCTTCCTGTATTTGATCTTAATAAATCTTCTCAGTTACTTGTCTACAGAATGGAGCTTCTTGAAAACTAACTTTCTGGGTTTTCTAATTGCATTTTAAAAAATTGATTTGTTACTGCAACTGCTGTTTTCCCACTTCTATTTCTTTGACTTTATTCTGATGCTATTTTTCAAGTTTTCATTTTCTGAATTTTTAGCACAAGTTTTTCAAATTCCCACGTTTTAAGTTTATAAATTCAAAGCCTGTGTTGCGATTAATTCTAGGAGTTGAAGTGGAATGGGTAACTGCCACTCATCATATCCATCACTATAGGATTATTTAACATTTACAATGTGTGCACACAGCACCTTCATAAGAATAAAAATAATGAAGGAAGGAGGAAATTAATTGATTGCTATGTGGCAATACCTTTTAAAGTCTACATGAAATGGTTTCTAGAAAATTTGAAATACCAAAATTGACTCAAGAAGATCAATATAGCTAAATGTATCAAAATATTTTAAAGTCAGTGATAAAACTTAAAATAGGATAAAGATCCAAAACAAAAGAATTAAATGTCTATAAATATTAATATGTAGAAAAGTATTCATTGAAATAAATAGTAAGCATTTTGTCTCTCAGACTGGTAATAGGACAATCCAGTTCACTATAATGCAGGGCAAACAGCAGTGTTCTGGGCTTGTTACCAACGCAGTAAGGTCTGAAGAAAAGGACCTAAGATTCGGAAACAATGAAGTAAGAACCTTATTTGCAGAAAATATTGTGAATATAGAAAAGTATTTTTAAATTTACAAACTTTTAGAAATAATAAGTTAAATTTTATAGAAGACAAATATAAAAACTACAATTCATTTGTATAGATTGCCAAAAATAGAAAATGAAATAAAAATACTATTTGCATTATTACCTAATAGTATCCCTTAACTAGGAGTAATTCTTACCAAAACATGAAAGATCGTCACACAGCACAAAAAAGTATTACTTACAAAAATCACGTATGCCCTAAATAAGAGGAGCAACGCACCATGTTAAGGATCAGAAAATTCAGTAATGTAGAATATATCAATTTCCCCCAATAACCTCATTTATTTATGTATTGTGATTGCAATAAAAATCTTGGTAATTGCTCAAATTCATATAGAAGTTCAGAAGGTCAAAAAACATCATGACAATCTATATGAAGAAGGAAAGATATGGTACCAGACACAAAGTCTTGTAAAAGGAATTAAATAATAAGAAAAGCGTTACACTGAATGGACCACTGCTTTCAGGGAAGGGAAGCAAACTCAGAACCAGAGTTAATTAGAAACATTGTCTAAAAAAACCTCACTGCAGTGCAGTGTTGAAAAGACTGACTTCAACAAACACTTGGATTTCATGATGAAAACATAAAACATAACATTTCAAAGATGAAAACCATAAAAGAAAACTTAGGATAATATTTTCTTAACTTCGGGAATTCAAGGTCTTTTAATCTGAATAGAAAAACCCTAAGAAAAACTCTTAACAAAGCATATAACATAACAAAACTTAAATGTGAGTAATCACAAATAAAAATGAGTAAAAATAATCCAATACATTGGAAATGAAAAATCCGTGTTTAACAAAAGGAATTATCATGATACTGAAACTAATACTATAGATAATAAATGTGTGAAATATATAATCTAGAAGAGTTAACATTCAGAAAATGTAAACACTATACACAAACTAACAAGAAAAAGGCATTCTAGAATATATGTAAACAAAGGCAAATTAAAGGCAAGACTTTCACTGGTATTACACCAAAGAGGGTGGGTATTCAGCATGTAAAAGGTGCTGACTTTGATTAGCACCAGGGAAGTGTGAACGGACTCCACTACACACCTGGAACGTGCTCCAGTGGGAGCGACGCTCAAGGAAGAGTGTGGCTGAGCAGGTGGAGTACCTGAGGATCTCAGGTGGGAGTAGAAACAGAACCAGCCACAGCAGGAGACTGTGGTGGTACCACTGATGGTGTGACCCAGCAAGGCACCCCCGGGCACACCCCCAGAGGACTGTGCAGTACCCCCAGCACCACGCCCCTTGCAGTCACCCCAAACCGGGTCACAGCTATGCAGGCTCCACCCCGTGTGCATGTGCAGACAACCCTCCACGCAATGGAATGTGCGTGTACGTCTCGGGGGGCACAGGATAAACCACTGTGCGCAATTCCACCTGTGTGACATCAAACTTGGCAAAGCCCTTCTGAAGTGAGAACAGTGACTTCCTGGAGGAGGACGAAGTGGACAGGGATGGGGCAGCTGGCTGGTCCTGAGGACGCACTCCATACCTGGGTGCTGTAGACGCCGGCTGCTCTCGGTGTGCCAGCCACGCCTTGCAGTGTGTGAGGCCTGCAGCAGTGTGATAGGGGAGCTCACGCGGACACACACATGCACCTGCCGTGTGCATTTCCCATCTTGGAAAATGTCCTATGACTCTAGCAGGAACTATGGTGAGACAGCAGTCACTTCCCACTTGAATGAAAGATTACTGAAAATCAAAGTGGCAGACACAATACGACTGCGTAGGGAAGGTTAAAAAATTAAATAAAAGATGATGTCGTCCCTGAGGACCTCTGGGTTGCCTTTGATACTGCCATGGCACGGCACGTGAGGGAAACCCACATGGTACTGGGACAGGGATCCAGCACATGGCCTGACTCTGCCCCCTGGTGGCAGGGAGGTCGGTTCCTGCCAGCCCCAGAGAAATAAGGAAGTGGCTTCAAATAAAGGCAAGGACTGGAACTCAGGTGAGAGAAGAGCACAAAGCCAAGATAAGAAGTCACTGGAGGATACAGTCCAATGTCAAAATAATTCACAACGAAAAAGTCACCAAAAAATACAACAGGGGCTGGGGATTTAGCTCAGTGGCACCACGTCTGCCTTGCAAATGCAAGGTCCTGAGTTCAATCCCTGGTACCAGAAAAAAAAAGTGTAAAATCATAAATACATACCACAAATTGAACATTTTAAAGATTTTTTTCCCCAGCCAAATAGACATAGATTAAAATGACTTTGTTTAGTTTGACTGAGAATAAGGAGACGTTGGTACATTTTAGCTGTGGCCACAAGTACTCCTTTTAAAGCACTTTGGTAATGGCTATAAAATTCAATTGTTCACATACTGCAAGTCCAGCTGGAAATGCATCCTAGAAAGTACTACTGCGATGATGATCAGGAAGATGTCTGCACTGCTTATGACAGTGGGGAAACTGAAAACAACCCACATATCCTGGGGTATGGTCTAAACAGAGAATGGTACATTCGGGCAATGGAGCCCTGTTGGACAGCCACCTAGAGGAAGGTGGATTACAGGCAAAGACATGCAGATTTGGCCATTTATTAACTGAGAGAAACTTTAGTGTATTGTTTTTATTAAAATATTTAAATAAATATACAATTCTAATTTTACATATCTGCCTTTGAATAAAAAATTGGAAAAATATACACCATATTTTCAACGTAGTTATCTTTGGGTCCCAGGATTACAGTAAACTTGTTTTAGGGTTTTTATTTTTCTAAATCTGATTATCAATTTCAAAATACGGGAATGATGGGGGTTTAGCTCAGTGGTGCCACCACCTGGCTTACAAGCACAAGATCCCAAGTTTGATCCCTGGTACCAAAAAAAATAGTTTAAGTGGTGGTGGGCCAGGGGTTTAGCTCAGTGATGCTGCCGCCTGCCTCGCAAGCACAAGGTCCTGAGTTCGATCCCCGGTACCAAAAAAACATAGTTTAAGTGGTCAATTGAAATGATTAGATTTGTCATATAGAAGTATTTGCCATAAGACAAATGAAAATGTTTAGACATTTGATTTAGCAAGAGATTCCCTTGCTTCTGACAGCTGACATGCTGGTGACTGGTTATTTCCTCAAGTTACCTACAAAAGGCTCCACTAGATCTGGAGAAAAGGGGCCCTTTGACATGGCCTGGCTCCTGGTCTGCTCAAACCGGTCTGCACATCCACACGCCGGTGCCGTGTGCTCGAGACACATTGCTCAGGCCGGGCACAGGGGCTGGGGGTCAGCGCCCACCAGGAGAGCCCTAACTCCTGCCATTCTCCTCTTCCCTATGTTTGGGATCTTGAAGTTCATCAAAAGTCGGCTCAAACCTTCTCTGATTGCTAAACCAGATCTTTAACCTCATCACGGCCAGCACCGAGGAAAAATAAACAGGAGAGGCTGTTCTTATGATTTAAATCTTAGTATGGGTACACAGTACTGAATTAAGACATTTTCAGTACTTAAACATAATCCTAGTGTCAATATGAGTAATGTATCCTTCGCTTTCAGGTAGAAAGTGTAGGGGATTTTGTCTACATTCCCAATGCAGTACCTAAGATCTTGGAAACTACTAGAAAAGCAGAAGTCAAATCTCATATTCATATTAATACAATTTTAGCTTTAGTACCGTATATATGTACTTAAAATTATTGTATTTTCCAAACCTCATTATTAAAAATTGTTTATATTATTGAAGAATGACTCAGCCACCAGCACTCATGTGGAGATAAGTTGAATATTAGGTGGGTTAATTCAATATGAATACTGATAGTTTTCCCTTTACTTCCTTGGTAAGAAGGAGTTCGTGCCTTAAACTAAAGAGAGAAGCTCAGAAATCAGAGAGCACAGACTCTCATACTCAAAGGGTGTGGATGAGCAGAAAATTCTTCCAGAACAGCACAGTGAAATGTGCAAAGGATGTTTTTGACACTGCTGACAGCTAGGGGGAAAAGGTGTGCATTCGTTATTACTTCTCATCCTTCTTTATCCATGCCCTTCCTCCTTCGCTCTGACAATGTTAAGGAAGTCCTGGATGTGTCTGCTCATCACCTGCTCTGCATTCAGGGAGAAGCAGTGCTTGCTCTAATTCTAGGGAAGGGAGCCACCAGGGAACCTGTGAGAGAAGCAAAGTTGGAAACCCTGAAAGAAAATGGCTCTGTTTCTAGGATGTAATTCCAAGCTGACTTCAGGACAGTGCCTTCCTCGGGCATCAGCAAATGCGAGGCACAGAAGTTCTGAAATCTGTCGTTTCTCACCACTAAGAACTTTCCACCAGCACTCGCTCTCTCAGGGAGGGAAGGGGGAGAGAGACAGCCCAACCCAGTCCACCCCGGCTAGAGACGCACAGAGGACGTGAGGGCATGCGTTGTGGTAACCAGGGCAAGCTCTCCCAGTTTAGGGGGCATTTCCTTATGCAGCCAAAGCAGTCTCCTCTCACCGCTCCCTCTCTCTCCCTCGCTCCCCTTTGCTGCATATACCTTACTTAGCACAGGACTTCAGAGGCTAGCTGAGCGAGGCTATGACACATTCAGCCACAGCTTGATGTTTTTTTCCATAGCTAAGACCTTTCCTCACAGAGCGCATGGCTACTCCCTCTGCTGAGAAGAGAAGCAGCCCTCTGCCTCACCTCACCAAGGCCTAAGCATAGCAGTACCTGATGGTCCTTCCTGGGTCGGCCTCCACGGTCCAGGTGCAGTGCAGGTTGTTGTCATATGGGGCTGGGTAGCCAGGGGACAAGATGCGACCAGATGTAGCTGTATGCACGTGACCTCCACATTCCGCTGCAAAAGAAACAGTTGGGGTCCACTGTCTAGATTGTTCCTGTGCATTTGTTTTCCCTTCTAACCCAGGGCCTTGTACAGGTGAGGCATACACTCCTGTGACCTCCGCAGCACCTTTTCTATTTTCATTTTGGGGCAGGTGAGGTTCAGGCTGTCCTTGAACTCGTAAATCTCCTGCCTCAGCCTGCTGGGTAGCTGGCATCACAGGCCTGCGCCAGCACATCTAGGTTCAGTTTTACTTACTTTTTAAAAAGGAAAAAACTGTCATGTCTGTACCACAGATTCAGGAAAAACCCACAATCTTGCATCTATAACATTTTTTGTCTTCTCCTCACCTTTACCTTGACAATAAGATTTTATTCTCTGTGAGATCGAAGCTGTGGATGTAAAGCAATGGCACGCACACTCACGTGGTAATTCTAGTAATCACGGTGCACAGGAAATCTGTCTTTCAAACCAGAACACATACACACACACACACACACACACACACACACACACACACACACACACACCCCTCTAGGCAGTGCAGGAGCGTGGAACCGCCTCCTCCTCTGCAGAAGGAGGAGCCATCATGCAGGGCTGGCCCGTGCCGCTCCGCAGGGCCCGGGCCACCGGGACTCACCCACACAGGAGGGCACCGGCTTGTCCCAAACCCTCCGGTCCCCGCTGAGGCAGGTGAGGGTGCTGCTGCCATGCATGGCGTAGCCCGGGTTGCAGCTGTACAGGACCACAGTGTCCGTGAAGTGGCCCTCGTCGCGAATCCGGTAGCCATAGTTGGGGCTGCCGGGGTCCTTGCACTTGATCAGACTGAAGCCTAGGAGAGAGGAGGGGAGAGTGAGTGGACCCTGGGTACACGCAGGCGGCCTGAGGACAGGCGAGGGCGGAAGTGCGGGCACACGCACGCGTGCGGGTGTAAATGCAGGGGTGGAGCACCGCTGTGTCTCCACCAGAGTAATGGATGCAGCTGTCCGAATTCTCTGAACAGAGAAGCAGTAGGACGTGGACGCACACGCACAGGCACACCCCTGCGGGGGTGACGAGAGCCCGAGAAGGAGGTGGCTAAGCTGCTGCCCGCTCTGGCGGTGTCTCAGGCCTGTGGTGCACGGGGAGCTCACCACAGACTTTCTCCTGGTCGCGGACACCAGCAGGGCAAGGACAGAGCTGACCCTGGACAGTGCCGGGCACTCTCAGGTGTTCACGGCCATAAGCTCCAGTTTACAGACATCAATGCTCAACATGCCCCACCCTATGTGGAGAGTGCGTGTTACCGGAGCTCTGAAACCCCAAATCTACACTTATTCCAAAATTACCTAGAAGAAGCATTTCCCTTGCCGTCAAGCTTGGCTTAAAACTTTCATTTGGTCAAGGAAGGAAGAAATAAAAAGAAAAAAAACACAAATGAACAAATATAGATGTGTCAGTAAAAATGTCCACTAAACTTTATGTGGGTGCATTTCTTTAGGGAATTGTCTGTTGATGCGTTACAGAAAGCTGTTTTTGTAGCACATCCTGCCCTGCCCGCCACAGACACCACGTTATGCGCAGCCACACAGCCCCACTGCCTTTAGCTGCCCCTGCCGATCCTCACTGCTGCTGCCAAAGGTCGCTTAGGATGCTGATGGCAAGATGAAAGTCACCTTATAAAGCTCCACACTTGGCTCCCAAATGCCGCTCGGGTGACCCACATGTGTGAAATATATTCTTCCCTGTCAGAGGTTGGGAAGTATTCAGCTTTTCCAGAATTGGGTTTTCCAATTATTAATGGACTGAGGAGAGCTTTGTTCTCTCAAAACTGCCCAGCATGTGATCATTCATACATGGCTGCAGAGGGAGCTGTCACTTCTTCACTTGTGAGGAGCTGTGGAAGGCTCTTCAGCCAGACAAAATCAGGAGCCAGCTTCTACCGTGTGTCCTGCATGACAGGAATCGAGCCCAGCCCCTTAGGGGAGCATGACTCTGCCTCACAGCCATGTGGGGCCCTGGAGCTGACACCTGGCCCCACCTCACTCAGACTGCTGTGAGGCATCTTCCACACTGACACGAACCAAGCTTTGCTTATGTGTGTAAGGAGCAGTACACGACCATCATCTACTGACATACCACATACTGCTTCTCAATACTGATGAAATGATTTGAATTGATGCATAATAGCCAAATTCTGAAGTGGCAATGTGCAGTTCTAAGATGCCTACATACTGTTTCAGGAGAGGATTCTGCTATGAGTCTTTTTTTATCAAGCTTTTAAAAGATATTGTATAAATCTACAAAGAATTCCTCCAAAGAAGAGATACTTCCAATATAATATGAATTGAAAAGACTTTTAAATGATTAATCTTAAGACTACTAAAGAATAATAACTTGAAAAATACAGAGTAAACTTCTTTCTCTTACAGCCTCTAGCCTGTAAGACAACAGTGTACAGTGTACAAAGCATTTCTTTATGCCATAGAAACTTAAAAACCTCAAGTTATTTGTCAAAACATTATTAAGAGTACAGTCAAATGTTGAATGCTTAGCAACTCTATTTTTCTGCTTTCCCATCATTTCTTAAGTCATAAGCACAAGAAGGACACTGTGAACAAAATGTTCTAGTCAAAACAGGATCCAAACAGGAGGCAGATGAAAATCCTACTCCAGAGCTTCACAGTAATTAGCCATTCTTAACATTCTTAAGACTTAAATCCTGTATCACTTTTAAGTCAACAAATACTGGAGTGACAGCAGGCTTTCTTTTAACTGTCAAGTGTTCGGGCTAGTTCTCATCTCCCAAGCAGGTAAGCATTTCTATATAAAGAACTTGCTTCCAACTTGGCCCTGTTTACGCATCCTGCTGGCCACTGAGCACAGGTTGTGGGGTCTCCAAGCTTGGGCAAGCAAGGAAGGGGAAGCATGGCTGGTGGGACACTTATGGTTTGTGGGTCTCTGGTATCTTCTTCCATGAGCAACTGGGATATTCACGCATTTACAGAAACCTATTATCGCACAACTTTTATCTAAGACATTCCCATTCGGACAATACTATTATTTGGTTAAAGAAATCTCCTTAGCAATCTGAGAGAAAGTGTCACGTACCAAAATATGGACATTATTTTCACACATATATGCAATGAAAAAGGAGAACTAGCTAGAAAAAAATCAAACATTCATCTTATTAACTCTGCAGTCATCTACAAAGAAATGGAGGTCAAGGTGAGTCACTGGTTAAATTAACTTTGTGGCTCCCTTGAGAGGTACAGTTAATTAGTACCGAGCTTCCTGAAAAGCTTGATTGACCTGTGCTTTAAAACGCATCTCTGATTATCCAAGATGTAACCAGATCCAAGAGGAGCACATGCGTGTGCGCGCGTGTGTGTGCGTGTGTGTTAAACTATTAAATTTTGAATCTATGGAATTCTTAATTATAGCTGCTATTGGTTTCAGACTGATTTGTTGCCTACTTTGTTCTTTAACTCACTTCATGTCCTCCACATCCTAAGTCTCATTATCACGTTTATTATTTTGTGATCATGCGAGGGACCCCCATGGAGAAATGCTCTAAACTACAAAATCAGTTCCACTGACTAGAATACTGACCAAATCTGAAGAGAAATGTGAACTTCTGAGCTCCTGGTAAGATATTAACCTGCCTGTGAGGGTCCAAAGGAAAATCTGGTAACCAAAGAATCTCTCCATTTTCCTGGAATCATCTTGTTCCTTTATCAAACATGGAATTGGGACATAAGAGCTTTAGGAGTCGACCTTGAAATATTTCACAGTTCTAGATCTGTTCCATACCTCCCCAAAGACCTTCCACACCGGCTGTACCCTGCTCTTCAGCAGAGCTGCCAGTCATTCAAATCATAGCAGCTCTGAGAGGTGTTCATATGTTCAGAATATGTTAGTTCTTATTTGGTTTTTATTTTGTTTCACTTCTTGCTATATTGCTTAATGAAAAAGAAATCGATTAAACCTAACTGATGGAAGAACGGGACCAGGGAAGTTAGAAGCACACGAAGTGAGTTATTTTTGCACAGTTTGGTGCTGGTCCTGGTCCCTCCTGGAGGTTCTGCCACACCACCTGCATTTCCACTGTCTAGACCCCAGTGGTGTTTGTGTTTCTACTGACCTGGCTCCTTTCTGAGGATACCTAGGTTGACAATGCCACTTCCCAGGTTCCCTTGGACAGATGGGCATCTCGGGGACACACTCTGCCCCGCACACGTGTGACAGGTGCCCAGTGCTGTCCCCTTCCCACAGCCTGCTTGAGGCCTGCAGTGGCAGGAGCCCGGGCAGGCTCTGAGTCTGCTTAAATGGCCGAGGCCCAGGATCATCCAGCTGCTTTCTGAGCACACGGCAGAGCGAGCAGCTTCCTACACAGAAACCAAACTGGGAAGTCAGGAGGGTCGGGGGCTGATGGGGGCCTTGGCCTTCTACCCAGCTGGCCCCCAACCCTTGGAGGGGATGCGTCCTTCCAAGGACATGATCTGGCCTGAAGCTCCCTGGAAGCCTCTCCTGGTCCACAGAGGCTGTCCTCCTGGGTGCCCCTCCCGGCTCCTGGACCTCTACAGTGACAGGAGGGCATCTGATAAAGCCCCCAGGGAACACTGCGGCTCTCCTGCCTGCTTACATAGATCCCATGATTGTGCCAAAAAGAAAAATATAATAGGGCTGAAAACCATTTTAAAGTTCCACTGAACATTTTATTCTTCACCATTCATTAGATAACTTAAGTTTTCCTTTTGCTGGAAAACTTCTCAGCAATAAGTTAGGCATAATAAATATGTCCGTGCCAAATTCTCCCATAGAAACCTCATCTTCTCCCAGGAAGTTTGTTCCTATTCCTTGCCCCAAAACAGACTGAGAGAAGAGCAAAGTCCCTCTCGGACAGACGGGGTCTAAAGATCCCAGTGTCCAGTGCATTCAGTGGAATGACTAAGGAAGGGGTTGTCCACTCCAGGAGAGAGGCTGAGGGTATGGTCATGGGGTGCTGAGGAGGGGCAGGGAACAGAAGAAATGGGCCCAGAGCCTGGAGCCTTCCCAGCAATGTGCTGGCCCAAGTGCCCCATCCCACGCCTGGCCCCTGCTGGTCCCAAGGAGTTAAATGTGAATGGAGAAGCCAGGCGAGATGGGCACCCCTGCAGTCCCAGCACTCTGGCAGGCTGAGGCAAGGACACCGCAGTTCCAGGCCATCCCAGACAAAATGACACGGCCAGACCCTATCTCAAAATAATAATTACAAAAGTGCAAAGGGCTAGAGATGGAGCTAAGTACAAAGACCCTGGGTTCAATCCCCAGTACTGCCAAAAAAAAAAAAAAAAGTGAATGGCTATGTTTCTTCCTTCCCTCATCTTGCAGAGATGTTCAGATTTTTACAAGAAAAAGGAAGCATTTGTGAAAACACTGAACTCTTCATTGAGAAATGGAAGCCAGAAGGGGTTGCTGCCGCTGTGACGCACATGTTGTGACTTGTATTACACTATGAGTAATACATGTGAAGGAACCGCGCTGGCCAGCTGCAGAGCGGAGCCCCAGGATCGGGGGCCGCAGAGGGCGCAGGAGCCCGCTCCGGTTCTCAGGGTCTCTTCTCCCAAAGAACTTGTGCTGAGTGATCCCTGCCCCTCAGCTAGTGTGCCCAGGGTGGTCGTCCGGGCTTAGCCACTCCGAGGGGAAAGCTCCCCGCTCCCCCAACTGAACCAAGCACATTCCTGGTCACTTTTTACTCGCGAGACAAGGTTTCACACACATTCGGATCCACAGTGTGCTCAGCTGTAAAGCCCAAATGCAAAGCCACACAAATGCAACCAAAACATTCCACCAACTAAACAAAGCCCAGGA